CCACCCCAAACCCCTCCATGAGTCTTCTGTGGATCACCAGGCCTCTGCCTTCTCCCCACTCCCCATCTGTTAGCAATGAACCTCCCTCCATGTGGCTTCAAGCCACCAGGATACAGGCCCCCTGCCACACACACCGTTAATCTTCTCCCCAGCTTTTCTGCTGAAGAATTCGGCCTTTATGATGACAGGCTGCTCTGGGAGCTTTCCTTTGCCCAGAACTTTGAAGTAGCCCAATTGGACCACATCAATGATTGGAGCCGCTCCAGTCTTGTTTTGGGCAGCATTTACCCAGGTCTACTCACTGACCAAGGTACACAATCTATCAAGTTGACAGTTGGGCAGAAGTTCTGGTTCCTCTTTAAGTGGTACAAGCTGAGCATCACTAATCTGAAAATCTGAAATCTAAAATGCTCCAAAATCCAAAGCTTTCTGAGCACCACCTTGATGCTCAAAGGTCATGATCAAAGAAAATGCTCATTGGAGCATTTCAGATTTTGGATTTTCACATTAGGGATGCTTGACTGGTAAATTTAATGCAAATATTCCAAAATCTGTAAAACAAAAACACTTCTGGTCCCAAGAGTTTCAGATAAAGGATACTCAACTTGTAATACCTCCTACCAACTTTCCCAAAGTAACCTGGGTGATATTTGAAGTTGACCTTGCATGCCACCAGCATTACCCCGCCCTCCTGTATGCTTCTGGTGCTTGACCAGGCCTCTGCCTTCTGTAGATGTTACATGTGTGATGGGACAAATCTCAGTGGTTGAGGCAATGTTAGGAGAGAGGAAGGGCTAGTGGCTTCATGCCCAGGAAATCAGCTTCCTTTCCTACTTCCTCTGTTGGCTTCTTGCGATGGTCCATCAACAGTGTCCAAGTGTACTCTGCCCTTAGCACACCTACACGCTATGGTCCTAACCTTTTGCTTTCTTCTCCACACCCCTCTGCCTCATCCCCCAATTTCTGCCCTATTTCCACCCTGCTTCAAATGCTCTAGANGCCAGTGAGCGGCCGGTCTGTATGTGGGATCCGAACCCTCGGCGGGAGCACCACCACACTCACAAGCAGCGCACTGTAGCAGTGCACCACCGGGCCGGCCCAATTCTTTTTGATTAAACAATACTTACCAAAGATTTGCTGTGTACCTAATGTGATTATGTCAACACATTCCTTAAAAACCCTTACGTGACCCTTCATTATTTTCACATAATAGGATATGTACGCCTCTTCATAGCGCAACCTCTGCTTACTGTTCCATCTTCACTCCTTGCTACTCACCATATATTCGACCATCCAGCCATTGAACTGGTTCGACATAGTATAATTTTGTCAACAAGTGCCAGGACTTTGGAAGTCAGAGACCTGGGTTTAAACTTAGCTATATGACCTTGTGAAATTTAATCCATCTTTCCTCTTGTTTCATCCTCTGTAAAATGAGAATAATAGTAATAACTGTCTTCTAATATCACTGTTGGGATTATGTGATTATTTCAAAAGTACTTACATATCATTACTGGAAATATTTATCATTTTAAATGATAATTATTAACTTTCCTTAAGATGCTTCCCTGTCCTTCCAAGATTGTGTAAGGTACCCCTTTATCCATAGCTTCTGTGCTCACCTCTTACCAGTGTAAATTCCTGTTAAATGTTTGTATCTACCATTGAGCTGTAAGCTCTTTGAGAGCAGTACTGTTGTTTCTTGTTCAACCTGGTATCTGCAACACATTAACACATTGTTGGCACCCAGGAAGTGTTTGTTGGTAGAAAGGAAAAGAGGGAGAGGTAAAGCAATAAGCAAAGTCTGTGAGGGACATAAACATGACAAAGGCAAAGCCCCTGGCCCTCCAGGTGTAGAGCCTCTAGCCGTGAAGACAAACTAGTCACGGATTGCTATATTTGTCTCTCCTAAGGATAAAGTACAAGTCCCCTCCCCCACCCCCACCTCCACCCCCACCATCTGTCTCTCCCTATCACATCGCCCTTCCTCTCCCCAAAAAGTAACCATTATTCTGGCTTTTGTGATCATCGTTTCCTTGCTTCTCTTTATGGTTTTATCACTCATGTATGGATCCCTAACCAATATAATTCCCTTTGTTTTTTAACTTTATATAGATTAAATCACTGTATTTATATTCTTCTGATACTTGTTTCTTTCCTTCAACTTTATGAGATTAATCCATGTTGTTGAATATAGCTGGGGTTTTTCTTTTTTCTTTTTTGAAATACTATAGTATTCCATCATATGACTATGTCACATCTCCTGTTGATGGACATTTGGGATTTCTCAGATTGGAGTTATTACAAACAGTGCTTCAGTTAACATTGTTGTATCCATTTTCTGAGTTATTTAAACACATAGTATTTTTCTTTTCTTTTGAGAATTCATTCTGCCTCTGGAATCAGTGAAGTCCCTAGGGGTTACAAAATTGAAACTAGTTTGCACAAAGATTTAGGTAGGTAGAAAAAAGTTGAAGAAATCAAATGTTTCTCAAAGAGCATCTAAGATAGCCCACAACAAAATCATCTGGCAAATTTGTTAAATATGCAGATTAAACAGCCCAGCCCTAACCTACCAAATTGGACCCTCTAGAGATGGGGCCTGGAAAGCTACATTTTAGCAAGCTTACCCTCCACCCCAAACCCCTCCATGAGTCTTCTGTGGATCACCAGGCCTCTGCCTTCTCCCCACTCCCCATCTGTTAGCAATGAACCTCCCTCCATGTGGCTTCAAGCCACCAGGATACAGGCCCCCTGCCACACACACCGTTAATCTTCTCCCCAGCTTTTCTGCTGAAGAA